ATCCTTGCTGGGATGGAGGGAGATTACCTTTCCTACTGGCCACTGAGATCAGGGAAGTTGGGAATCAAGAATAAGAACAACAGTGTTAGGTTGTAAGTTAGGCTTGTCAGTGCGCCACTTCTGTCTGGACTGAAGCGAGGGGAGGTAATTTCTGAGGAAAAAAGCTCAAAAATGATTTGACTATGACGCCATTGAAGGCGACTGCACAGTTCAGAGTCTGGGTATGTTACGAGAGGAAGGGAAGCATCGTGCTGCCCCATGAGAAGCAAATTAGGGGTCACAGGATCAGGATCAGCAACGTCAGATGACACATATCTTAAGGGCTTGGTTTAGAATTCCTTCGATTTCAATCATGACTGTGCGTAGTACTTCTTCACTGACCATTTGAGCACCTAGGGTGGTTTCCAAGGCAATTTTGATTGAGCGTATTTTACGTTCCCAAGTTCCAAAGTGGGATACATGTGGAAGATTAAATTTGAAAGTAATTCTCTGTTTGGCCAGGGTTTCCTGAAGGTCTTTGGTTAGGGAATGATAGGCTTCCAATAACTCTTTATTACCTCCAATAAAGTTGATTCCTCTGTCTGAAAGCAGCTCGGCTGGTTTCCCTCTATGTACAACGAAACGCCTGAGTGCCATCAGGAAGGAACCCATGCTCATGTGACAGAGTAGATCAAGGTGTATACATCTAATAGTCAGACATTTGAAAATTATTCCCCATCTTTTCTCAGCTCGTCTGCCAATTTTTCCCGTTTAGGGCCCAAAGCAATCTACCCCAGTTGAGTAGAATGGAGGTTTGCAAAGGTGTAGGCGGGCTGGTGGGAGATCAGCCATTCTGGGAATAATAGGATGAGCACGAAACTGCTGGCATTTAGGGCACTTATGTTGATGTTTACGGACCATCTCACGACCCCTCAAGATCCAGAACCTTCTCCTTAACTCAGCAAAAAGTCTTTCTGCCCCAGGATGGTGTAAGTGGTCATCATAATCCTTTATTATGAGTTTTGTTATAGGATGTGCTGGATCCAGGACAATTGGGTGAATGGCATCAGGAAGTAGATCACTACTCTGACGAAGCCTTTCGCCTTCTTCAATGAGTCCTATTGTAGGACCTAATTCAGAGGCAAGGGAGAGTAAACTGCTTGAAGACAAAAGGGGCTTTTGGTTTTGAAGGCAGGCCAAATCGTCCTTAAATGATTCTATCTGGGCTCGTCTTAGGATGGCAGTCTCTGCATCATGGTAGTTTTCTGCTGATGGAGGATTTGCTGCCCCCTGAAGGGAGGTAGCTGTGCAGTCAAGGAGGTCTTGAAAAGTGGCATATTGACTTGCGGTCAGGGACAGAGGGGTATGGACTGAGAGATACTGCACCATAGAAACTGGCCTTGCGCAGCTCTACAGGGTCATCAGGCTGATCTACATTGGGGTTAATGGGCCATAGTTCAAATGGTTGAGACAGAATAGCAGGTCCTTGATTCCACCTACAGGGCCTGCCAAGATCAGTCAGCAGCTTTCCTTTAGTTAGGTCATCCGTTGGGTTACTAAGTGAATTCACATAATGCTACTTCTGGCCCTTAGTGAGTTTCTGAATCTCAGCTACCCTGGTTCTAACAAAGATCTTGTAGTGGCAAGAATCAGAGAGCAGCCAACAGAGAACGGTCATAGAGTCAGTCCACAAAGTAGTCTTCCTGATATGGAGCGTGAGTTCTGTTTGTAGGAGATTAGCTAGCTGAGCTCCTATCAGAGCAGCACATAATTAAAGACTTGGAATGGATAGCCGTTTCTTGGGGGCAATGCGGGACCTTGCAACGAGGAAAGACACATTTACCTGCTCATCATCTTCTGTATGCATGTAAGCAACTGCACCGTAGGACTGTTCTGATGTATCACAGAAGATGTGAAGATCGTGGGTGGCTGACGTGGGGTCTACAGACCGTGTGAAGCAGCGAGGTAAAGTGATGGTGGAAAGGGCAGGTAATTCACCTTCACTTGAAAGCCAAGCTTCCAGGAGATCATGAGGAAGATTTGGATCATCCCAATCTCGTGTCTTTCTCCATAATTGCTGTACAATAATTTTGGCTCTTGTTGTAAAAGGAAGGATATAGCCAAGATTATCATATTGGCTAGCAAGAACTCAGTAAAGGGGATGCATGATTGGGGTAGTATGTTCTATGGGTCTGTGCCTGTATCTTAGGATGTCTTTGTGGCAGTTCCAGAGTAGGCCTAATGTGGATTCTGAGGGATCAAGAGATGGATGGTGTGATAATCAGAGCTCCGTTTGTTCTGACCTGGCTTCAGGAGGTAGGTCACTGATGACTTGAGGATCATAACTGGCCCATTTTCTGATTTCAAAGCCACCAGAGGAGAGGATAGTGTGTAGGTTCTGAAGGAGATCTTTGGCTTCCTCTGGGGTGGGTAGACTTTGCAGGCAGTTATCCACATAAAAGCAATTGTGTATGGAATGGCTAATGCACTCAGCTGCCTGTGCATCTTCGATGATCTTTTGGAGGATGGAAATAGCACAGCAAGGCCTTGAGGTCGTGTCAAAGAGCAGAACTTGCCATTCATATACAGTTGGAGGTGCTTTACAGTCCAGGTCACGCCAGAGGAATCGCAGAAGAGGTACCTGATAGAACATTGATTTGATGTCTCCACTTATTGCCGTTTCATACTGCCTGAAATGAGGTAGAACTCCCAGGAGGGAAGGCCCAAGCATGGGGCCAGGAAGTAACTGTGAATTCAGACACTCATTTCGGTAGGAAAAGCAAATACATTGCACTCTTTACCGTTGTGATGCACAAGGTGGTGGGGTATGTAACAGGACTCAGGGGCTATCTCCACTTCAGAGGAGGGCAACTTCTTGACATACCCAGCATCAATTTGGTTTTGGATCTCTCTGGTATACATCTCTGCTTGTTGTGGGTTTTGAAGGAGCCGCCTTTCACAGCTACGAAGACGGGCCATAACTGCCTCCTTGGGGGCCTTTAAAGGGGGCCAGGGTTCTACACGTAGAAGAGGTGCTGCATATCGTAGTATGCCATCAACAGGTGTTCGGATAGTTTGGGTGTCAAGTTAGTGCATTGCCATTAAATCCTGCTTAGACCGAGTCACCAGTTTAGTGCTTTTTTGAGGTAGTGCATCCAGCTGCCACAGCTTTTGTACATTGTGGTAGATGTCATCAGGTGGGCATTTAAGAGAGATATAGTGAAAGCCCTCGGACCCTGCAGTGTCCAGCCAAGCCGGGTCTTGATCGCTACAGGGGCTCCAGGAGGTCCTAATTTCAATGGTTGCATAGGGGTAATCAGGCGTGTTTGATCAGCTCCTAAGAGGAAAAGGGGGTCTGACTTTATTAAGCTGTTTAAGAGGAAGCTGACAAAGGTGAGGGTAGCATCGCTGGAGAGCTTTTACAGGATGAGAATGATCAGAAAAAGATAACTGGTTGGCAGTAAAAACTTGACTGATGACATAGGACTTATCTGGATGCACTTTAGGAATGAGAGTGAAGGATACCTCAGCTCCATTAAGAGTCTGAACATCTTGTCTCACAGTTCTCAGCTTCAGGCTATCAGGTTTTCCTTTTAACTGAAGTGCTTGGGCAGCAGGGTGCAAAAGGATTGTTCTTTCAGACCCATCATCCAATAAGGCATAAGTGTCTAAGGACTTGTTTTCATTTTGCAGGGTCACTTCAACTACCTTCAGTAGGTCTTTATAGCAATCACTAGGATGATCAAGAGAAAAATTCTGCACTTGCCTCTGGTTAATGGTGCATAGGATCTCTTAGTGTTTCCCATTACACTGGCTGCAGCGTCCCTTCAGGCCACATTGGGTTGCATAGTGCTTTCGTGCACATCGCCAACAACGTCACTGTTCCTTAATCCAGTTAATTCTCTGGTCTTTGGTAAGGTAAAGGAAATCATCACATTTGCTAACATGATGCTCAGCAGAATTACAATAGGCACACACTGAACAGCGTTCAAATGAAGTGTTAGGAGGAGGCTGACTGACTCTAATTGGGGCAATTTGGGTTTAAGAGGATGTCACATGTGGTAGGGTTTTGGAGCCATGCAGTACAGTGGTATTTCTCAGAGGATGAGAAAAGTGAGGCTTCTGTCATAAGAAACTAAATAGCTTTTTGATCGATTACTACAAGCTGGGAAAACATCAGATAAATATGCCAATGCAATTAAGGTCATTGCTGAATAGATCTAATATTTACACATTTGCTTGAGGAAGGAATGATGACGGTAGTTACATTACTATATTTTCCATAACATCTTTGTCCTTCCATAACATTAGCTGACGTTAAAACTAACAGATAGCACTATAGCTATTTATTGATTAGCAATCTGTCAATGTTGGGATGTTAAAATATGGGACAACAAATAGCTTCAAATGATAGAATACAGAGCAAACATTAAAAAATATTTACAATAAAATAAAAAGTTTAGCCTTTTAAAATTAATGGCCTATACAGAAATTAAATAAAGCTATACAATGTATTTCATTTTTAATAGTATTTGCATTTTGATTAAAGTTACTATAGTTATTTAGTGAAGAGCAGCAAAGGAATCTCTCATTGTGTTTTGTTTGATAACAGAGGTGTTAATGTAAGAATGCACAGATCTATAATGAAGCATTCGACTACTTAAGTAACTGTTTGTGCTCATTTAAGAGAAAATTTGTTGTTTAAAATAAAACACGCAGGACGGAGCAAAAAAAACAAAAAAAAAACAATGAAAAATAAAATAAGCACTTTTGCGACGGCCCCTTACTGAAAGCTCCGCTCTCCCGGCTAAACGCAGATTGCCAGGGCTTAAGGGCGAATTAAACCAGGCTTCAAACGGAGCAGTGCTCGTAATGTTGAGTGAAAAAAAGACAGCTGTGAAACATAACCAGCTTTGTCTTTTTATAGGAAGCACACTTTAGATATTTTTAGGGTAAGAGGTGTTTGAGTTATTGCCGTAAATCGTACTGGTTTTGATTCACGGCAATGTAAATATAGCTGCAGCTGTGTGACGTTGCGCAACCCACCTTTGTTCACTGTGCGACCCACTAGTGGGTCGCGACCCACAGTTTGAAAACCCATGCTCTAGAAGATGTTCATGGTCTTTAGGAAACTAGAAGTCTTGAAGTACAGTCTGTTATGGTGAGTTTACAGCCATAACCTCAACATTAAACACACTGCCATTACACACATCTCATGTCAACTGCTGTTGTTAATCCTTCAGATGCATTTTTTGGTGAGGGATCATATGGCTGCATCTATGGAGCAAACTTTTGGCAAGGATGGCTTTGAGGAATTATAATTTCGCTACAGTATCAATATATATTTATAATGTATATAAATTGCACTTGACACATTGGGAACATAATTGTAACATGTTTGATTGTTGATTGTGTTTTAAACAGGCAAATAAACTGAAGTTTTATTGCGAAAGCACCTCGGTTCAACACTGATCTTTCTTCTAGCCTGGTCCCATTCTATTAGCAGTTTGTCTTAATCCTGCCCAGAGATCCAGATACTACTACAGCCTGACCTGTACATCATAATCCTGGAACGTCTCTCACCTTGACAAGACTTATTTGACTTTAAGGTGTCTCACTGAGGCTCCATCAATGAAGACTCAGCAAGGTGTATCATGCAGGAAACAGTGTCCCTCAATCTGTGCTGCCATTGTGGGGTGTTTCATCGAGACTGGAGAACCTGCAGATCAACACAGACAGACTTGGTCAATCTGATGGGCTTCTCCAGTAAGAGTGCAGATATTCTGTGATATGTATTGTGCAAGATTCTGTGATATGTATTGTGCAATAAACTTGTGGTTTGAGACTTGCTATGACTAGTTAAACTGGTGTCTTTAATAAACTAAACCACACTAAATAACAAATAACAACAAGAACCAAAGGGTCAGTAACTTTAAGCCTGAGTTCATGAGTCTCGGTTATGAGAAAACCAGTTTAGACCGAAACAGTAAAGATGTGACTGTATTTCAAGCGTCAACAGTCAAAATCTCTTTCCTACAGGAACTCAAGAATTCTCTCCACTGAGTAATTGAATTGAATTGAATTTGATACATGAAGCATAAGAAGTGCTTTTATTCAGACTGGTGTTTGGCTGTTTTTCTCATTTCAGACACACTGATGATCTGAGCCTGGATCGTCAAACAGTGAGAGGCCGTTCATCACAGCATAGAAAACTATACAAATCAAGAAACATGAAAGGAAAAGTATCACCTCAAGCAACCAAGTTTTAAGCAATTTCATGCAAATGTCAACCCTGAAAAGTTTTCTCCAAAATAGCGAAACCCTTTGTAGGTTTTTGTGTGTGTGTAGGCTTGTGTTTTACAGTGCTGTAAAATACTCAAAAATGTCTCTGCCAATGTTTTCAAGCAATTATTTTTTGCACATCTGTCACATCCAAAAATGTGAAATAAAATAAAAAACTATCATGTTTGTTTTATAGAGAGCCAACTCTTATTCTTTTAATTAGCATTATTGCAAAGTACAGTTAAAGTCAGAATTATTAGCCCCCCTGAACTATTAGCTCCTTTGTTTATTTTTTCCCCTTTTTCTGTTAAACGGAGAGATGTTTTCAACACATTTCTAAACATAATAGTTTTAATAAGTGTAATGGAAATTCATTTTAGATAAACATGTGTAGTGGAAACTTACAGCAGAAACAGCGGAGCACCTGATGCACGTACAGAATGGGTCTTATTAGGATTTGACCTTGCAAGCAGTACAAACTAGATAGAACAGTGAACATACTTTGCTTCAGTGTCTCATTCTGTAGAAACTGTCGTCTGAATGGGCAGTATTAGGGTTTGACCTTGTAAGTAGTAAAAACCAGATAAAAGGGTGAACACACTTGACTTCAGTGTCTCACTCTGCAGAAACTGTTGTTGCTGTATGACTGTGACCTTCTTTGCAAAGAATAAAACTTTAAAAAGACATTCCGAGTAAGACTTTGTTTCTTGACCACAGAGAGCGCCTCTTTAAAGAAAATTGCCACTACAATTTGGTGTCAGAAGTGGGATGTCTTGGAGGAACTTTTCCGGACCCTGCAGACGGTGACTGATCATCCTGGGACTTCGTGTCACAGCCCTGCCCCGCTCGATTGAGGGTTGAGGGGCCGATCGCAGGGCTCGGAGGGAAACCTCACTGACATCTGGGAAAAAGAACTCAAGTGGCATCTGAACTCTCTGGTAAGAGACAAATTCTTTGTTTGTTACTAAAAGAAAATTGAACAGTTTTGGGCATTTGATTAGGCAATTAAAGGGGTTTTTCACTGTAATTTGGGCCATCACCATGCTGGTAGATCTGTCTCTGTGGGATAGCAGCGTGATTAATGCAAGTGAGATCTGACATCAGGCAAGGATCGAGACCTTTTTACAAGTGAGATCTGGCATTTAGCTAAGATCAAGACCTTACACAAGTGAGATCTGGCGCCTGACTAAGATCAAGACCTTTTTAACACGTTTGGCTAGCTAACTGCGATTTACTCCCGGAAGGGGGTTGAAATCAGGGGGCTGTGCGATTTACTTCCAAAAAGAGGTTGAAAGCTAGGGCTGTGCGATTTACTTCCGGAATAAGGTCGAAATCAGGGGCCAAGCGATTTACTTCTAAAAGGGGGATGAAATTGGGGGCCACAAAATTAGAGCTGGAAAGCTTAACTTTTCGATTTTAGGTGAAAAATCGAATTCTGTTGGAGACGTCCGACAGATTAATAGGTACCGAAAAAGTCCAGGGGAAAGATTGTTGCCAGCTTGGGGAAGTCTCAAAGCAGAATAAAAAGATATGATACACCGGTTTTTTGGAATATGGGAAATTTATACGGAAAAAGAAAAAAAAAAGAAAAAGGCATGCAAGAGATAGGAAAACAATAAAGTATCACAAGTTTCTAAGGGAAAAGGAATGTTGAGTGTTACTAGGTTAAACATAATAAAAAAAAGGAGATAAGAAGGCAAAAGGAAAAGCAGGTTGACTTTGCGAAAGGCATGTGTGTGTCGTGTGGAGACACTGTTGATTGTTGGCTCAGGGAGGCAGATAAGAGGCAAAGAGGAAAATGCTGCAGAGGCAGCTGGCATGTAGGGAAAAGAATGAAGGAGATAAAGTGAAGGAAAAAGCAAATGAAAAAATGTGAACGTGTGAATAAAAGAGTAATTAGCACTACTAATCCTTTCTATACATCTGTTTCCATACATGTACCACCGTACCATCACTATCCCGTGGCTGAGCTGCGAGCCCTGAGAACTGACCCAAACCTTAACTGCTATTATCCCAGAAGACCTCCGACCGCACCAATGAAATTCCCACCTCAAGCGAGTGGAGGACATCTGTTTGAACTGGAGAAATGGACATTTAACGAACATTCTGCTGTGTGCTCAACATGCGGAAGACAAGCTGACAGTGAAGCAAGAGCAAGACAAGAAGAAAGCAGAAAGGGAGCTGTGCATGGCTCTGGTACAAGTGGCCAACCAAAGATCCAACCAAGACCTGACAACCAAAAATACCACAAGTTCAAAGGTGACAAAGGTGTCAAGGGGGAGAAAGATACCAGAAGATGGAGAAACTGGAATGTGACGTATGGCGATGAAACCTGCAGAGCCTGTGGTGCACGTGACGAGAAACGGAACCAAATGTCTGCGCTTGCCACCGAGATGGACTTTTGGTCAAGGATTGACCTGAAAGGCGCAAACCAACAACGAGGAGCTGATGTGCGGAGAGGGAAGAGCAGAAAGGAGGGGGGTCTGGGCAAACAGCCAACAGCTACAGTAAAGGGAAGTGAACATTTTTTTACTAACATGTTAAAATGCAGACACATTTTTATACACACATATTCACATACACTGACATACTGGCTCTCTGCAATGAAGAAAAAGCTTGCATTTCCGACTGTAATTTTGATCACAGTAATGTTGATCATTTTTCTGATGAAATGGCATTGTTTTAATAGTGAAGCATTTTTTTTAATATGCCAAAATATTCTATGTTGATTGAGAATACATTGGTTGAGTTTCTAGCTGATAGTGGAGCTAGCATATCTTGCATACGACCATGTGACCTGCAGTGTGAAATACGTTTAACAAACAAATTTCACGAGTCTCTGTCTGCATCTGGTCATACAGTGGTTGAGCGATTTAAAGCTCCGCTGACCTGTGAGACAGAGGGGGGTAAAATTTTAACACATGAATTTGTTTGTTCACCAAAATGCCCCGTTCCTATCCTCGGAAGCAGGGCCGGACTGGGACTAAAAATCAGCCCTGGCACTGTAGCCACACCAGCCCACATTACCACACTGACACACCCCCATGCACGGATGCGCACATTCACTACTTAGATTGGTGTAGAGATGGTGAAATAATATAAGCAGTACCATATGTAATCGATATCTAAACATTAAATGTATGTGACTGTAGCAAAAACAACCCATTTATAACAAATTTATATATGCAATCATTTCATTCATTCATTTTCTTTTCAGCTTTGTCCCTTTATTAATCTGGGGTCATCACAGCGGAATGAACCGCCAACTCATCCAGCATATGTTTTATGCAGCGGATGCCCTCCAAGCTGCAACCCAACACTTGGAAACCTCTATGCACACACATTCACAAACGTGCACTACGGACAATTAAGCCTACCCAATTCACCTATAGCACATGTGTTTGGACTTGTGATGGAAACCAGGAGGAAACCTACGCGAACATGCAAACTCCACAAAAAAACACCAACTGACCCAGCCGAGGCTTCATTTAATTTTATGCATTTGGCATTTTGATTTTAGAGACTTTTTTTGTTTTCTCTGAGCTTTTTGGCATTGCCTTTATTTTTTTATGGTGCATCTTTGACAATTAGCTTGTTTGTAGCTTTATTTAACATTCTTGCCAGGTTTTTGATTATGTCCGGTTTACCTCTGATTGGGTCGGCCCATTTCAAAACCATGCGGTTGTTGCCGATTGGGCCAATGCTTAACATTTATTATTATTATTACTATTATCATCATCATCGTCATCATCATCCTCATAATATTCACATCTTGCAAGAGATAAAAGCTGCCTGCATGTAAAAACAATACATATAAAAAACTGACCGGCCCACATTTAAAAAAGGGTCCGGCCCTTCTGGCATTTGCCAGAATTGCCAGATGGTCAGTCCGCCCCTGCTCGGAAGGGACATTTTGTGTAAACAAAGCTTGATTTTAACAGCAGATTCCACTGGTGTGAGATTGAAGGAGAGGAATTTTGTTGTTTACAAATTGAATCACAAGCACCGAAGTGGGCTTATGAATGGCTGGTTGAAAACAATGAGTGGGCTAATTCAATTTGCAAATTGGCTAAAGAACGTGTAAAACCTTTTGACATTGATATAATGTCTCCTGGTGAACTGCATTGTACGTCACATGTCGTAACTGATAGGGATGCAGAGTTTGAAAAGGCTTGGTTTGAGGCAAATGTGAATGAAACTTTGATTTTAGAGAAAATGTACTGGAAGGATAGTCTGTGTGCAGTTTCAGTGTCTCTGTCAGAAAAGCAGCTTTCATTCTATCTCATGTCAGCACAGGCTGTGCCTCACATATCAGTTTGCAAGGGTAAACATCAGTCTTGGGCTGATTTAGGCCCGTTTGTGAAGCAGTGTGTTGAAGCCGAAGACTGAGCGCACTCTCGCAGGCCTTTAGGGTGGACAGTGAAACTGAAACAGCTG